TTAATTATAAATTTTTTTAACAATTTATAAAAAATAAAGTGGCCGATCTATTATTCAATTTAAATAAGGTTAAACTGGTTCTCTAATATCGGTAAAGCAACATATTCCATTGCAAATAAAAATATATATACATCATTAAATTAAATACCACTCACTTTAAATATGATTTTGAGCATCCCTTGTTTTGATTAAATTGTTGTTCTTTTTCAGTTTTATCATTTTTTTTAATTCATGAAAATTGAAAACTATATATTATTCTTGTAACGACCCGGCCGGTCGTTTCGAGAGTTGTAGCTCCGTTCCCCTATTTTCTGCTTCATTTGTGTTCTACAACTGTATTATGACTTACCGGGTTAGTTGGTTCGAGTCCGGAGTGATTTCAGAATGAATTGAGACACATAGTCTCTTAATTGAAAGCTTAAGTTGGAAAAGTTGACCGGATGTTGACTTATGTGTAAATTACCTCGGATTTTAATTTTGATGGTTCCGTTAGCTCCGTTAGGTGGATTTTGGACTTAGGAGCGCGTTCGGGTCGTGATTTGGAGGTCCGTAGTAGAATTAGGCTTGAATTGACGAAAGTTAGAACTTTGGGAAGTTTGATCGGGAGTGGACTTTTTGATATCGGGGACGAATTGGATTTTTGGAAGTTTGAGTAGGTTCGCCGTATCATTTATGACTTGTCTGCAAAATTTGAAGTCAATCGGACGTGATTTGATAGGTTTCGGCGTCGTTTATGAAATTTGAAAATTTCGAAGTTCATTAAGCTTGAATCAGTGTATAATCCGTGTTTTTGATGTTGTTCGAGGTGATTTGATGATAGGTTACAAGTACCTTGGTCATAAGTACTTTGCTTTATGTTTTGATGATCTAACAAACTTACTATCCAGAACCAGATAAGGAACCTGTTACACATTTACAAGACCTTAAGATCAAAAGGTTCCAGCTTGGGATATGGCTCAACTGTTCAGAGTAGAAGGAAGAGTTGAGGGAATATATCCCTGCCAGTTCCCAAGGTGACTATTTGAAGTCAACTCTCCGGCTAGAAGGTTGCTGCCTGCACACGCTACAATATAGGAACAATTCAATAGTCAACTTTCTATGGAATACTTTTTACCTACCTTGATTACATCATTGTAAGTGTTGTCATAGATGTATTAATATAATCAAGGAAGGTAAAACACAATTCACTTGAGCACCTAGAGATTTCACTCAAGCTCATAGCGTGACTATCCAACATGAAAGTTTCAAGTGCTTCAAGAACAAAGAAAACAACTACGGACCAGTTCCCACATCAAGTCTTTATATGTCCTTACTTGAGTTGTAACTTTGTAATAGTTCTTCAATTGTATTTCCTACTTAGCTTGTTTAGAAGCATTCTATAGGAACCCTTTTGTAAACCTTAAACCTGTGTGTTTGAGTCTTGGCTAGAGTAAGTCTAGTTATAAAGTCTTTGTAATAGAGTTATTACAAAGTGGCTTGTAATAGAGTATTACAAGTTAGTGAGGGATTAAGAGATTAATTCCTAGGTTGCATAAGTTGTAATCTAGAAGTTTCTCAGTATTGAAGTTGAAATCCTACAAGGGTAGGTCATGGTTTTTAATCCCGTTGAGCTGGGAATTTTCCATGTAAAATTCCTCTTATCAATTACTTACTACCGTGTGCGTGCGTTCTAGTAGAACTGATAGAGAGCCTTATTCTCTATAGAGTTTAGTGGACCCTTATATTCTATCAATTGGTATCAGAGGAGGTTCTTTCTATCAGGTTAACACCTAGAAAGGATCCTCATGGTTGCTCCTCCAAACTTCGAAGAAGGCTAGTCTACTTACAGACCTCCAAGGTTCAACGATCAATATTATGGATGGTGGAAAACTAGGATGCACAACTTTATCATTGTGGAAGATTCTAAGTTATGGGATGTCATATGTGACGGAGTCTTTGTTCCTACAAAGAACCTTGGTGACCCAGCTATACCTATTCCCAAGACGAGAAAGGAATTCAATAACGCTGATAGAAAGGCCATAGAAAAGAATTTTCGTGCAAATAAAATTCTTGTGTGTGGCATTGGTCTTGATGAATATAATAGGATATCAGCATGTCAATCAGCAAAAGAAATCTGGGAGGCTCTTCAGACAGCTCATGGGGCAACAACACAGGTGAAACTATCCAAGATCGATATGTTCACAACTGAATATGAGCTCTTCAGAATGAAAGATGATGAATCCATCCAAGATATGCACACTCGATTCACCTCTATTATCAATGAGCTTCACTCTCTTGGTGAAATTATTTCAAGAAATAAGCTTGTTAGGAAAATCCTTAGTGTACTGCCCAGCTCCTGGGAAAGCAAAGTAAATGCCATTACAGAGGCGAAGGTCTTGCAGACACTGACCATGGATAAACTTGTTGGAAACTTGAAAACTTATGAAATGAAGAAGAATAAAGACAATGAAAGAAGAGAGCCCAAGAGGGAGAAGAACTTGGTCTCAAGTCGGACTACAATGACTCAAGTGGTGAAGACGGGGACATGGCTTACTTGACAAGAAGATTCCAGAAGACGGTTCGCAGGAATGGAGGCATTCCAAAAAGGGGAAGTTCTAGCAAGCCAAGAAATTATGACCTCTGTCATAAATGTGGCAAACCAGGACACTTCATCAAGGATTGCCCTCTCCTAAAGCAAGATCAGTACAATGGCAACTTTGACAAAGCAGCCAAGAGGAACCAGGTTCCTGACAAACGCTTCAAGAGAAAGAATGATGTTGACAATGTTGTAAAGCAAGCTCTTGCTGCATGGGGAGACTCCTCCAGCGAATTTGAAGAAGAAAACGATTATGGTGGTAGTTCAATGATGGCAGTGGAAAATGAAACAACTGAGTATGATTCAATCATTGCTTTAATGGCTCAATCTGATGACGATGAAGGTGACGACAACGATGAGGTAAATTGTTTGGATGTTCAGAGAAATCTGAAATCTTACTCTCCTAAAAAGCTCACGTCATTAGCAATTGTATTAATTGATTCGTACCATAGTCTTATCGATGACTAAGATGCATTAACTATGGAACTAGGGGAAGCTGAACAAATCAGAGATGACTTAGTAGTCGTTGTAGTTAACTTGAAACTTGAAAGAAACAATAAAGAACCTGAAAAAGGAAAATAATGCCTTAGAAGAGAAAATTGCCAGTATAGAACATGAATGAGATGATCTAATGTTTGTTGTGGTGGACTTAAAAGAAACCATTGAGTTTGTAAGTAAGGAAAAAGAAACCTTGACTAAGAGATTTGCTATCGTTGAGCAAGAAAGAGATGACCTAGTAGTGGTGGTAGTAGACTTGAAAGAGACAATTTCGGAATTTAAAATGGTAAGTAGGCCTGGAAACTCTAAAAAGGGAAAGGAAGTTGCAAGTGAGGCACACATTATGCTTGAAAATGAGTTAAATTTGGTGAAGACTATCTGTGTGCTGAACTTGAGAAAAACAAACATCTTCAGGAAGAACAAGGGATAGTAATGAGTGACCTTGAAAAATCGCTTATGTGGACCTGGTCCTCTGATGCTATCACTGCCATGTTCACCAACAACGGGGGAAAAAGGCAGGGGATAGGGTTTCAAATGGAAAAAATTCCTTACAACCCTCATAGCAATACCGTTACTGTAACCGACAAATGGCTATGTACCCACTGTGGTAACAATGGGCACCTCAAGGAAAACTGCATGGCCAGGGTTTAGTATCATCAAAAAAATAAAGTCTTTGCTGAGAGAGTAACTAGTGGTAGAGGACCTGGTCCGTCAAATAGGAAACACATACTGCCTGCTTGGACTAAAGGAGCACTCATTCATCCCTTCTCTCATAATAATGGACCCAAAGTTGTTTGGGTTCCTAAATTCAATCCTTGATTTCCTTGAGCAGGGAGCAGTGAAGGGGAGCATCCAACAATGATATATGGACAACGACTTCACAAAGCACATGACATAAACTACGATCAATTTTCCTTCACTAAAAGCCCTGCAAGGAGAGAGTGTACCCTATTGGAAATAGCTAAAAGGGGTACACTTTAGGAGTTGGAAGATATGTAACAAGAGAATAAAGTGGAATTCTTATCCTGGATATGCACAATCTCAAATCATGTGATTGTTGAGGTGATGTTGTAGCCAAAAGATACAAGAATACTTATGTTGTTGTACTTAAGCCTCTGCAAAGTGGTGATATAAGTTGATTGAGAGCTGTTGAAAACAATGCTGAATTATGGGAGAAGAGGTTGGGATATGCAAGATTTTTTTCATCACTTAATAAACTGTTCCTGAAGGACCCGGTTCGTGGTCTGACCAAGTTGACTATCAAGGAACACAAAATGTGCAATTCCTGTGCAAAAGGAATGTTTGTCAGATCTCTATTCAAGCCCAAAAGGGGCAGTCAGCATCTCTAGGCCACTTGATTTTTTTCATATGGATCTATGTGGAGCAGTGAGAGATCTTAACAGGAAAGAGAGAAGATCCAAAGTATAGATGGAAACAAATGTGGCTTGCAACAGACCGGATCATGGAATAGGTTTTGATAATGCAGAGTGGATGAATTCTGCATTAAAAGAAGGATTACTCAACTTTCGGCTCCAAGGATTACACAACCTGTCAGTTGTGGAAAAAAAGAACAAGACTCTTGAAGATTTGGTGCGGTCAATATTAATTGACAGAGGGATTGCAAACGTCTTGACCAATGTTGCTGACTCGTTTGAGGATATCTGGGTGCGATTGTTATGTTCTCAACAATGGGAAGGATCATCTTTGAAAATTTGATGCTAAATGAGATGAAGGAATCCTCGTGATTTACTCGTCTCAAGAGCGAACAAAAACACTGATCAAGATGGAGAACCGTTATTGATTCCAGCGAGGAACTTGGTCCCACAGCTACAACAACAGAAGCTGAAAATCAATTTGTTGAAAAAAGTCTGACATAAAAGCGTCACAAATCATTAGCACTCACATTGCCACATCTACACGCCTAGACATGGATGAACCTGGTTCTCCTCTAAATCAAACCATGCATAGAGACATCACTGGATCATTCCTGTGTCTCACTGTAAGTAGACCGGACATCGTGCTCAGAGTTGGGTTTTGTGCAAGGGTTCAGTCAAATCCAAAAGAGTCTTATCTGAAGGCTGCTGTAAGAATTTTGAGATATCTTAGAGAAACACAGGACCTGGTTCTCTACCATCCTTCAAGTAATGGATATGAAAATCACGTCTGAAATAGGACATTCTCTAGGTTCCTATCTTGTCTCATGAGGTTCAACGAAGAAAAATTCAATGGCATTCTCAACAGCTGAAGCATAATATATAGCAGTCGCCTCCTGCCGTGCTCAAATGCTGTGGATCAAACAGCAAATTGGAAGACCTTGAGTCCAAATCAAGAGGGCCAAATACATTGATTGTTGAAGATCAAGTTGCTGACATCTTCACCAAAGCCCTGAGAAGAAAACATTTTGAGAAAAATCGCCTTGCACTGGGGATGATAAAACCCAAATGAGGACCTGGTTCATCATGATTGGTTATGAATGTCATACACATGTAAAAGTTAGCTAATGTATTTTCTAGCCAAGTCCAACTTACCTCTATACCGTTACAGGTAGACACCCATGATGACTACAGAGCTGCTGCTGCAGTGCATGCTAGAAAAAGGGGTCAAAAACTCACTTGCCAGACATGTCAGGGAATCTGGTTTTCTTAATACCGGTTAGTAGCTTCTTTGTTCTTTCATACACAATTTAAAATGGACAAAAACAATGCCACATCATCAGCGTGACAGTCTCTTTAAGTTGTGTCTTCTCATCCAAAGCGTCACACCTTTTTTGAACGATACAACTCCCCAAGCAAACTTTTGCCACTGTTTCTGAACCGGTTCCTCTTCATAAATAAATCAACATCACTACCCTTCACTTCCAAATTCAAAACCTCCTCTTTGCCTTCTCTCTTCTCAATCTACAAACCCTTCAAGTACAATTTCACCATGTCTGAGAATCAAGCAACCTCCAGTGTACCCGACAATACTGTCACTAAATCCAGACCAGTTAGCATTCCAGCAGTAGACTCCTCCCCCAACACAATAACTAGTCCAAACCCTAAAGCAGAGTCTCCTCCACACTCCACTCCCTCTCCTACCCACTCTGATTTTGTTCCTTATCTGAGCAAGGTTGAGAATGTATGTCCTCCTCCAGTCTCACCGGTCAAACAGAGTGAACAGGGTGAACGAGGGAACCTTGTTCAGGAAACATCAACTCTCTCCATGGTTGGGCACTCTAGTGAAAATCTAGTGATTAGTTATGAAAAGACTGAGACAACCATGACAGGCTGCGATTCTACAGGTATCACTCCTTCTTCTGTTGAAATTTCCATAAAACCACAAGAAAAGGAGGGAACAGAATATATATGCTTTCCATTTCTTCAAAAGGGGTTGTTGTTGTTGAAGGTGGAGGAGTGTCTGAGTCTCAGGGGGAAGACCTTCAGTCCACAAAAGACTGGGGAACACTTGTTCCTTTTTAGCAATCGACTAAAGTAGACACTACTAGGGTCCCAAGTGATGAACCTGATCCCTCCGCAAAGGATCCAGGTCAAGGGTCATCACCCCAGGCCAGTGTTGATCTTGCTTCTTCTCCCCACTTCTATGCTGAGCCTCTAAGCATAATGGTGCCTGAAATGAAGTCCGATAGTAAAGAAGACGCAGATGATTTGGTGATCGCTAGTTTTATTAGGGCTAGGAGTAAGCCAGTTCCAACTCCAGAGCCAATACCTAAGCGACCTACTACACGGTTGCAGAAAAAGGAGGCTCTGGAGTCTGCTCTCAAGAAAAGTGTAAGGAGTAAGTGAAAGAGAAGGCTGGTAAAAGATGGAAAAGTTGTGCATGAAAAATTCATCCATGTGGTAAACGTGGATGAGGAAGTAGAAGAGGAACCTAGTTTCTTAACCCACAAGTCCTCGAAGCAGAAGCACTCTCACTCTCAAAGACACACTTCTACAAAGGCTGAAGGTCCTTCCAAGAGTGCTGATGTTGCTTCCAGTGAAAAGTTGGTGAAAACTTCTAGTGACAAGACAGTGAAAGAGAGAGTGGTGACAAGTCTGATGATGAATAAGTTGAAAGTCTGGTGAACATATACAAAGTCAGTGTAGAAGGGAAAGTCTATTCACAAGTCAGTAAAAAGGAAAATTGATGATGATGAGGAACTTGGTACCATCAAGAATGCAAAAGGTGGTGAGTCTCTGAGTTCTGAGAAAAGGAAGTTGAGAAATCAGAAAGTTCTGTGGGGCTGCACATTTGCCTCTGACATTCTAGAACTTGCTGGGATGAGAAATTTAGTGGAAATTTGTGATTCTCAACAACGGACAAATTTGTTTACAAATGAAATTCCCAAAGTGTATGAGGAGGAGGTACAGAGTTTTTATACCGACCTCTTCACAATAGAGGGACATCAAATTTGTGTGTTGATAAATGGGGTGGACATTGTGATTGACTCTTCCTTATTGGGGTCAATTTTGGGTGTTCCTACGGAAGGACCATCGTCTGTTCAGGGTGCCTGCACGTCAAACTTCAGAAATGCCAATGTCAAGGACAAGGCAATCCAGCATGGGGAACAAGTGCATAAGAAGGTACTCATTCCAATATATCAAAGGAGAACGTTGAGCTCAGGAAGCAGGTGGCTGACCTGAAAGAAAGATTGCTTAATGAGCAAATGTCCACGAATGCTCGCATGGATCTTGTCCTCCAAACCCTTGATTCCTCTTCCAAGCCCCCTTCCTCAAGTGTCCCCTAAAGGATGTCCCCACAGTGTCAAGTTTCCAGTGTCCATCTTCTTAGTTGATTTTGGTGATGTTTTCTTTTGTTTCTGGTAATTGTTTTTGTTTGTTTTAAAATTATGGATGACAACAATGATACTGCTCCCGCTTTGTCACTGTTTTCTATCATGTTGTATGCACACAAGTGGCACGAGTTAACCATGCTAGACTTCTTTATGCTGCTTAGTTGTTCTGTGTTTTTTGTGATGCCAAAAGGGGGAACATTTAATTGAATAATAAAGAGCTTAAATGAATAATAATCTGAAGGGGGATAAACAGATTCAAGGGGAATCACTGAGGTTCAGGAACAAATTAGGGGGAATGCAAAAATTCAGGGGGAAACTTAAGGTCTTTCTAGTTCGCAGACTGGTTCTATGTGGCTCTTTCTGGTATTTAAATTATGAGTTTGTCATCATCAAAAAGGGAGAATTGATAGGTTACAAGTACCTTGGTTATAAGTACTTTTATTTATGTTTTGATGATCTAACAAACATACTATCCAGAACCAGATAAGGAACCCGTTACACATTTACAAGACCTTAAGATCACAAGGTTCCAGCTGGGGAAATGGCTCAACTCTTAAGAGTAGAAGGAACAACCGAGGGAACAGGTCCCTACCAGTTCCCAAGGTGACTCTGCGAAGTCAACTCTCCAGCTGGAAAGTTGCTGCCTACACATGCTATAGTACAGTAACAGTGCCGTAGTCAACTCTGTGTGGAAGACTTTTCACCTACCTTGAATACATCATTGTAAGTGATGTCACACATGTATTAATACAATCAAGGATGGTAAAACACAATTTACTTGAACACTTAGAGATTTCACTCAAGCTTAAAGTGTGATTATCCAGCAAGAAAGTTTCAAGTGTTTCAAGAACAAAGAACAAAACAACTACGGACCAGTTTGCACATCAAGTCTTTATATGTCCTTAGTTGAGTTGTAACTTTATAATAGTTCATCAATTGTATTTCCTACTTAGCTTGTTTAGAAGCATTCTGTAGGAACCCTTTTGTAAACCTTAAACATGTGTGTTTGAGTCTTGGTTAGAGTTAGTCGAGTTGTAAAGTCTTTTTAATAGAGTTATTACAAAGTTGATTGTAATAGAGTATTACAAGTTAGTGAGGGATTAAGAGGTTAATTCCTAGGTTGCATAGGTTATAATCTAAAAGTTGCTCAGTAGTGAAGTTGAAATTCTACAAGGGTAGGTCGTGGTTTTTAATCCCGTTGAGCTGGGAATTTTCCATGTAAAATTCCTCTTGTAATTTACTTACTACCGTGTGCGTCTATTCTAGTAGAATTGATAGAGTACCTGGTTCTCCATAGAATTTGGTGAACCCTTATATTATATCATTTGAGGGTTCGACAAAGTTCGTATTTGGATAAGAGACTGGTAAGTATGTTTGGTTGAGGTCCCAGGGGATCGAGTATTTTTTTGGTGGTTGAACGGACTTGGATTGAATTTGAAGAGCAGCTGATGTTTTGTTGCTGCTGGTGTAATCGCACCTGCGGAGTGGGCACCGCAGGTGTGAGTTCGTAGAAGCGTGAAGGGGTCATAGAAGCGGTTAAGGAAGAGGGCTGGCAAAAGTCGCAAGTGTGAGGTCCTTTCCGTACCAGCGTGACCGCGGATGCGGCAGAAGGGTTGCATATGCGTATTTGGTCCCAAAGGTTGACTCCGCAGAAGCGAGTCCGCTGTAGCGGAAAGCTGGATGCAGGTGCGGAGCTAAGCGCAAAAGCGGGCTCTGGGGCGCACCTGCGAGACCGCAGAAACGGCTAATAAGCCGCAGGTGCGGAAGGTCTGGGTAGAAACTATAAATATGAGACTTCGAGATTTTTCACCATTTTCATCAGTTTGAGCTTGGACTTTCGAGATTTTTGAGAGGGTTTTTGAAGGGATTACTGAATTAAGCTCCTTGTGTTTATTTTTCTTCAATAATGATGTTTTCCCATTGATTTTTCACCTAGTTGGTGAGTTTTTGAAGTGAAATTTGGGGGTTTAGGGCTAAGGATTTGGAGAGTGAATTTTGAGGATTTAGATGACCAAGTGGTGTCAGATATATCTATTTGTATGGTTAAACTCGAGAGTGAATGAGCTTTCCGGTTTTGTGATTTTTGTTGGATTTCAATACGTGGGCCCGGGGACTAGGATGTAGCCGATTTCGGATTTTTGGCTATAATCTCTAATTTTTCTTGTTGAATTGATTCCTTCAGCGCGTATCAATTGTATTGTACTACTTGTGGCTTGATTCGGGATATTCAGAGGCCGACTCGCGAGGCAAAGGCATTTTAGAGTAGTGATTTGCTTGGATTGAGGTAAGTAATAGTTGTAAATCTGGTTCTGAATGTATGAAACCACGGATTTTGTGTCATGTTATTATTTTAGAGGTGACGCACATGCTAGGTGACGTTCATGTGGGCGTGCACCGTAAAATTGTGGCTTGGTCCATTTCGTGAAACTGTAAAGTTGAATAACTTGTTATTAGCTATATGCCCTTTGTGTGTCATAGAAATTTGACTGTAAATCATGTTGGAAACCATGTTTAGGCATATGTTGGTACTGTTGGGGCCCGCAAAGGCCGTGTTACATGTTTATCTGCCTGCTAAATGCTATCTGTACTTAGTCTCAGTTTTTACTCGCTTATCGTATCTTAGTCTCTATTTTATATTATTGATACGTCATGTTATTCCTGTTTGGGCTTATTC